GCCCCCAACCCTCACCTCCTTGTACCCCCAATATGTTTTTTCCCAAAAAAAGAAGAAAAAAAGTTGATTCATAGTTGCATAATTTGCACCACCACCCCCCCCCGCCTCCAGTCCCTTTTGCTAGGCACCTCTTATTCTAGACTGCTGTCATACAGATAATGTCTAATCATATATTCAACAGTTCTTTCTTTCAACTGTTCCAATGCAGTTTTCATTATTAATCCTCTTTTCTCAGTTTCTCTCAGCACTGGGGTGGGGGTGGGGGAATAGGGTAGGGAGGAAAACGATGAATGAATGAAAATCCAACTTTTCTGTAAACCTTTGGTTAAAATCACAATAAAAAAGGGGAAAAAATTTCCCCTTGCAAATCCTCTATTCTTTCCCATTTGCTGTTCTCTACAAGTACCTGTTCTGCCCCACATTCTTCACTTATAGTATCTTTAATCTTCAGAATAATCCTAAAAGATACCCATTTTATATACAGAGGACCAAAGAGGATGCAGGGGGTTAAAACAAAACTTACTTGAAGTAACATCCTAAGAGTGGTGACACTGACCACAAACCCCACCAGTTAACACCCACACATCTCTTTTCTCACTACACCTGACTAACATTATGTAAAAGAAAATATAATCATTAACTAGGATTCAGCATTAGTTCTAACACAGTGGTAGTTCTGTCTTCTCTCCTCACTGCACAGGTCTGGGACAGAGTGTCTTCCTGTCATATTGGTTGGTAAAGAGGGGCAGATTTGAAAGTGGACATGGAGGAAGAACTGTTTCTACAAAAACAGCAGCCTGCCAGCCACCCTCTCCCACTAGGGAATGGAGCCTGTGTTAGTTTGTAGCTAATGTCTACAAACAGGAGCTCACTTAGTCTCTGGCACCCTGTAAACTGGGTTATTATTAACTTACCAATGAGGACCACGCTGATCTGGGATCACACAGCTGCAAGGGGTGCAGCCGCTTCAAAACCCTTGGCTTTTCCTTATATTCTGCTGTCACTTTCACGGCAAAAGTTCACCTAGCTATCAGGCTGTGTTAAAAGCATCAAATCTCTCCCGTTTTCCCTTTCATCCGACTACTCTAGTTTCATATTTAGCCCAGGTCAGAATTATTTATCACTTGTAGCTCTGATGGTCAATGTGAAGGACTGTTGTTGTTAAGTGCCATCAAATTAAGTATGACCCACATCAGTCCTATGAACAACAGATCTGAACCCTGTGCCACCCTTACTTACCATCTCTTGGCATACCTGAGCCCATCGATATAGTCACTATGTCAACCTATCTCATCAAGAGTCTTCCTCTCCTCATCATCCCTCCACCTTTCCAAGCATAATGTCCTTCTCCAAGGAATAAGCTCTCCTAGCAACATACCCAAGTATGTGAGACAAAGCTTTATCATCTTTGCCCCCAAGGAGCACCCTGGCTGCACCTGCTCCTAGACATATCTGTTTATTCTTATGGTAGTCCCTAGTTGACTCAGTATTCTTCTTTAATACATTTAAAAGGCATCAATTCTTCTGTCATCTTTATTCATTACCCAGCTCACAGCATAGCAAGTGACTGAAAAGACCATGGCCTGAATCTCCAGATTCCTTAGCTGTCAAACTGACATCATTGCTACTCAATAATTTGGAGAGGTCCCTGACTGTAGACTTTCCCAGTAAAGTACATCTCCTGATCTCCTGACTGTGAAAGACAGTAAACCGGCTAAAAGAACGGGCTCCTGAATCAGAAGACTCCAAAATCTGAATTTGAAACTTGGCTTACCTTTAAGCAGCACTCAGCTGCTAACCAAAAGGTCAGGACTTTGGACCCATCAGCCACTCTGTGAAAGGCAAACCCGACAATATGCTCCTGTAAAGTCTACAGCCCGTGAAATCTGGTGAGGCAGCCTTGTTCTGTCACAGGTGATGGCTATGAGCTTGGACTGTCTCAACAGCACACAACAACAAATTATGGTATCATACATTTTCAAACTCATTGAGGACTGCACATTTCCTTTTGAAATCTAAGCCTCAAACAGGACTCAAGGCTCTGTGTGACCTGGTTCCTGCCAACCTTTCAATCCTAATCACCTATTACTTTGCTTCAGATTACAGTCTATTCCATCCAGTCTAAAGAATTACTATTACCATTGTTCTTTACTGCTGAGTTACGCCATTCTAAGCGGAAATGGATTGACACAGTGAGTGCAGCCAATGGTTGAAGTATGTCAAAGATTATGAAGCTGGACAAGGTTCAGATCTGTGGTTCAGAGGATTATTAGTTGTGCTCAACTCCATGTCACCTAACGACAAACAATGTCCCTGTGTATTCTGTTAACAACTTCAAACAGGTGAGTACTACTAGTACATCTGCTGTCTAACTGAAGAAATAAAAACTCTGAAAATAAAACTGCTATTGAGTTGGAAGAGACTCGGAGCTGCCTCTCCACTGGGGTTTCCCCTTCTGATAATATGCCCAAAGTGTGTACAATAAAGTCTCACCACCCTTGCCTCTAAGGAGCAACCTGGTTACACGCCCTCCAAGAAGTGAACACCTACTACGTGCTTCCAAAAAAAGAAACCTCTTCTGCTACAGAACAAAGAAAGGGAAAAAGAGACTCAATCACCAAGTAGCAAAAACTTCAAAGTTGAAAGGAACCTTTGCAATTATTCAGTAAAACATTCTCATTTTACAGATCAAGTAACTAAGCGAGACACTCCCTGTTCAAGGCTACCAAACTAATTACTCCTGGTCTTCCAGCTTTGTAAACTAAACAGGACTGACTATAATCACCTAGGAGGGGGAAGGGCAAAAAAACAATATGGTTCTTATCAAAAATTTAACATCTTCCGTTAATGGTACACATTCCGTTACCATTTGCCACTGGAACACAAAACTTATCCCAACAAAGTCAAATCATTGTTCCTTTAAACAAAAGAATACCAGTTCCAGCACAGAGAAGCATAACTTTACTAACATCTCCCCTTAAAAAAAAAAACCAAAACAAACACCTACTAAAAAAAATTTATAAAACTGCGACGAGGGTATTGTACCAAAATAGGAAGTCTGAAATCCTACTGATTAAAGATGAGCGAAGTCAAAGCTAGGATGAGACTTAAACGATCGCTACAGACCACTCGCTCAGACACAGAAGAAACTTGGGCCCTTGCTCTTCTTGAGTGGACATGGTCTTTCCTTTGCTGGACTCACTGGGCTGCAAGGGAGGGTCAGGGCAGCGCAGAAACCAGCAGAGCACTGAAAGGAAAGGAGGGCTGGAGAGCGAGAGGCTATAACTCATGATTGGCGTGGGCAGATGAATCGGAGAGGCCAGCGGGATACCAGGCCTGGGGCAGGGGTCTGCAGGACGCGTAAGAGCTAGACACAGAAGGTCAAGGGGAGCTTGAGGGGCCAGTAAGGACAATGGCCTGGGAAGGAAGTATTAAGGGATCAGAAGATCTGAGACAGAAGGTAAAGAGGCTCCCAGGAGAAAGAAGGGATAAAGGGTCAGCCAGAGCGGAGATCAGGACAGAGAACCGGGAAGGCGAGCGCGAGCACGGACCTCCCACTGTTCCAGGAGCCTCGCCATGTCTGCATCATTGTAATCGCGAATATCTTTCTTCTTTTTTTTAGGAGATGGGGGAGCCTCGCCTGGTGCTCCGGCCTGGTCGTCAGTAGCACAAGCCGGAGGTGGTAGCAGCAATAGGAGGTCAGAGATACAAAGCAGAACCACAGCCATGCACACGCAGGTGGAGGCCGCCATCTTTGTCGCGTAGCGCCGCGCCGCCGCGGAAACGGGACATGCGCTGCGAAAGCGCGACCGCTCCGGCCCCGCCCACACCCCTTCCGGACCCGCCTCCGCGGGCGCCAGGTCCCGCCCTCTCGCTCGTACTAACCTACCGAGCCCGGCCTCGTCTTATTTCCTCCGGCCCCCACCTCCGGAAGCCACGCCCACCCGCCATGTCGGCCCCGCCCCACTCGGTGGGTTTGTCTGCCCGATCCCAGAGGGAGGTTTCTGCATAGGCGGAATGGAAACTTGTGTTATCTTTCTTCTCTAATGCTCAAGGTCAGGTTCCAAAGACCCTACAGGACCTCCAGTAAGGTCTTACAGCGCCCCTGCGAGGGCTCTGTTTTCTCGCCTGTAAAATGAATTGAAGGTAGAAGTTCTGGGAGCTGCCCCAGCAGTAAGAAAGTCCACTTGAGAATGTTCCCTTTCCCCGAGGGAGCTATGGTGGCGGGGTGACTGTCAACAGAAAAGTCAGCGGTTCAAATTCATCAGCTGCTCCACCGGAGAGTCTCCTCCCTATTGAAGGGTCACCATGCACTGGAGCTGCCTGCTTGGTGGTTTTGTTTGAAGGTTCAGAGTCCTCTTGGAGGGAACTGCCCTTTTAAAAGAAATTAGTGGGAGATAGATCATTTTCAGGTTATAAACAGAGTGAAGCCAGAGCTTGCCTATTTATTTACTAATATTCAAAATTTTCTTCTTAAAGTTATTAAAGTTTTAGTTTTAAAGTACGTATCTTTTTAAACTTCATTCTGTGAGCGCTCTTTTTTTTTCAAAGCTGAATCACTTTTTATTCCGTAAAAATATTCTGGCCAGAGATGCTTTGAATTTCCACTAGTTTTAAATGGCTGATCTAATTTCTTTTAAAAATGTAATTACATAAGAAAGACATGAATCACTTACTTAAGTTGTAAAATATTACACAAAGTTTAAACCCCCATCTCTTAACTATTCCCTGCCAACTACAGCTACTAATTTGTCACATAAAGTATTCCATACATTATATACTCTATACTCTTACAAACATCAAAGACCCTTTAGAAACAATTTTGTTGCATTTAGCAGTAAATGATATAAATTCCAAGCATATTTAGCCTCAGTTTTTTTTTTTTAAATTGCAACTATATCACCAGGAACTTTTCCCGCCCCCCCCCTACAGCTGCATACATTTTGTTGGTACAAATATACTAAGTTTATTTCACTATATCCCCCCACTGATGGGAATTTAAGTTGCTACCAATTTTTCTACTACCAGGGGGGAAAAAATATAAATTTCTTTATCTCTGCCTTGGTACATTAAAGTGGAGGGGGCGACTGAAGAAAATAACATAAATGTGATAGTTTTTTTTAATACAATTTTTATTTTATACTGATTTAAGAAAGACTTATCTATTTATTGCCATTTGAACTTTCATTTTCTGGTTTTAAATAGACATTTCAACCCACTTTTTAGTCATTCGTGGTGTCTCTCTGGAGACTAAGGTCCACCTGATACAGGCCATGGTTTTTGCTATCACTTGTTATGCATCAGAGAGTTGGACCATGACTAGGGAGGATAGAAGGAGAATTGACGCCTTTGACCTGTGGTGCTGGAGAAGAGTATTGAACGTACCACGGACTGCCAAGAAAACAAACAGTTCCATCCCGGAGAGGGTCAAACCAGGCTACTCCTTGGAGGCAAGGATTTGGGGGCTTCGTCTGACATACTTTGGACATGTAAGGAGAGACACAGGTCCTTGGAGAGGGACATAATGCTTGGTAGGGTAGAGGGACGGCGCAGGAGGGGAAGACCCTCTATGAGGTGGATTGATTCAGTGACTGGGGTAATCAGGATGGGTGTGTAAGAGGCAATGCAATTGGCACAGGATAGAGCAGGGTTTAGGGCTGTTGTACAAAGGGTCGCTATGAGTCGCAAACGACTCGACGGCACATAACAACAACACATTTTCTATCAATTATAATTGATTAATGTAATGAATTATAATTTCTGGTCAATTGCTTATTGTATAAGCCTTTTCCTTCATCCAAACTTATCCATTTATTAATTTTTACTCCCCTCTCCCTCCCTTCCCATCCCTGGGAACCATGAAAGCTTTGTTCTTGTCTAACTTCTGTCTGAAGTTAGACATCTAGGGCTGGGAGAGTGGCTCTGTACTGTTGGCACACAGCTTCTTTCTTATCCTTTGACTTCCATCTTTAAGACTACCATAAGTTCCAGTATGGCTATTGGTGCTCCAGCATCAAGTTCATAGTCAAGCCAAAGAAAAACACAGGACTGAGCAGATGGAGTACACCTTTCAACTGAGTAAGCTTCCTGTAAGCAGGATGTTTCACACATTTCATTGGCTGTTTACATCTCAATGGCTAGAACTTGGTCCTCCAAAGGATTCTGGGAAGCTGTTTTAGAGCTGCATACACTGTCAGCCCAAATAAAACTAAGGTTCTGTTATCAGAGGAGGAGAGTGCCATAACAATAATTTTGGTCTTTCCCTCTTGGGACTATGGAGTTTAAATTCTCTCCCACTCTACTGGTGCTTAATATTCTACAGACTCATGCATGCATTACATGGGTACATAGGAGGTATGACATGTTCTATTGATAGTGAGCAGAAATAACTCATAAAAGAAAAAGGATTTTTCTTTTCCTTCCCTTTCTTAAATCATAGGGGAAATGTCATAAGCTTTCTCCCCAGGGCTCCTTGCTCCACCCAGTGGCTTGGAGCCCTGTCCTAGTGCAGTCATGCTAAAAAACACGCACAGCTGTGGTCGATCATGTGCTCTGCTGGGAGGGGTCAGCTGGTAATTCATTTTGCCCGCTGCCAAGTTAAGGTGCAAAAGCACTGGGATTCTTGGCCCACAATCCCTACTTAGAAGAAAAGTCACTTAGTGTTTTTATAGAAATTGTTGGGACCGTGTACAAAAATTCCAGGGCTACTGACTTTTCATCTGAGGAGGAAATCAATTCAGCCTATAATCCACAGATGTGGAAACATCTGGATTGATTGCCTTCTCACTATTTATTCTAGTGTTTGGAACATGATTCAGTTCAACCCTGTGAGAATGTATTAACTGAGGCCTGACTTGTCATCCAAGAGCCAGAAGAGGCGGTGCTTGTAACTATGAAGATGGATGACTAGATCTCTGCTCTCTAGAAGGTTATAGACCTACTAGAGGAGATGACATGGGTCTAAGTGGCATAAACTGTTACATGCTGGATAATGAGCAGAAAGGTTGGTGGTTCAACAGAAGCACCACAGAGGCCAGGGCTAAAGATGTGCTTCTGAAAGTTCACAGCCTTGGAAACCCTGGGGAGCCGTTCTACTATACAAACACCGGGTCACCTCATGAGTCAGAACAACTAACAGCCATAACAATACAACAGGTACACAAGCAAGTAGGATATAGATTAGAATTTAAGGCCTAAAAGGTTTCACTTAAGAGCACGGTAATATCCATATTTTAAATAAGAGCAGACTCTGCCTCTCATATTACATCATTTGTACCAGGTTACAGAGTTAAGACCTGGACTGGATCATCCTCTTCTGAGGGATTCTGACTACACGTTAACAACAATAGAGGAGACACAGAGTTAAGCTCCTGTGGTGTTGAGGGGTCAAAATAGGCTTCCTAGCCATTGACTTTGCCTGTTCCACGTGGATGGGTAGATATATGCGAGTGGAGCGTGTCAGCCTTTCCACAAAGGGACTGGCTAGTCTAGCCACTTAATTGAGCAGATTCAGTAGCAGATTTGGGAATCTTACCATGAGCAAGAAGCAGCAGAGTATGCAGAGTGTGAGTCCTTTGGGGCCAAAGACTTCCACGCTACTCAGACTGGGGCTCACACGAATAGCAATAGCAGCCGAAGCAGAGAACCAGAGACCCCTTGTGAAACAGAGGTGACTTTGGGACTGCTACTCCACAGAACCAGAGCTCAGAGCCTTTGCCCAAGTTAGTCGGGTAATAGGGGTTGAGGGTGGGGGCTGTTTGTGTATGAAGAATTAGCAGGACTAAGAGTTTTGTAACAGTGGCCTAAAGCTGTGGTGAGGCTGAAGGCTGAAATGCCTGTGGTCACATTTCAACAGCTGTCCTGATTGAATGCATTTTGCTACCAACCTGAATTAAAACTTTACTTCCCTAATATGGTTCTAAAGAGTTGAATAGAAGATTTCAAAAGGCAGCA